CGAAAAATCTAAAATTGAATCAAATAATTAATTAATGCGTTGCACAAGAGATGGCTCTCGTGACCAAAGTGGTCTAGTGGATAATGCTTTGGCGTTTGAAACTATTGGAACTTGGTTCGAGCCTGGGTGGGAATCACTCAGTGCGGAATGCAGGGACATGCAGCTGACAAGTACCGAATGGGACGAAAGTGCTGGTTGTCTTGGATTCCACTGCTAGTCACCCTCCACCAGTAACTTGTAATAATAATAATGTTATTTCCGATAAGTATTTCTACTCATAGTCAAACATTCAGAGATAACGGCGAAGGTTGTTTAATTTATGAAATCACCTAAATGATATATCAATCTTAGAAAGAGATGTATCCCTAATAAGATGAATGGAGAATTAGAACCGTGCATTGATGTAGTTGTGTTCTCTGAGGTGGATGGTTTATTTGCGAAACTTTTATTACCCTACTAGGCAACATCTTCAGCGCATAATTCAATTTGAAGTAGGCTTTTCGATTTCCGCCCAACCTAAGAAACAACAGCTTCAACGACATCGAATTCACAAGAGAAGAGGAATCTAATAAGAAAATCCCATCGAAGCATCTACACAAGAAGCCGACATGTCAACCTTAGACCGAGCACTTCAGTTCAATCAATCGACGGGGAAATCTAAAATTGAATTAACCATTATTACTGTTATCATAACTCTCACCTATTGTATTACGTTTCCACATGGGATAGAGTTTTAAAGGGTTTCACTACGTCGATAAACCATAAATCACCTACTGGTGTAAAAGCGATCGACTGCAGTGGCACATGTATGCATGTTTCCATTATTATCACCTGATATTGCATACAGACTAGTACATATTTAGCAACAGAGTTTCTCATACCATGTCATGCGTTATTTCAAGAGGTCGGTTATTTCAGCTACACTTGTAGATGCTGGCTGGTGGTATTCTCGTCTGATTGGATGTTTTTCTATCGCATGTATTCCGTGTGCAATCTCGGTCCCATCTTCTGATTTGGATACAAAGGTTTGAGAACAAATTTTCCTTAACTGGAATGTATTCAATTGTGAAATCGCATTCATGTTGGTCTAACATTAAACAAAATCGACTTTCGTGGAGTTGTATGCCTGTCTTCCACGACTATAGAGACTTGTAAACATTTTCGATATAAAACTATCTACCAAATATATTAGACCTCCATTTATCTAATGCCTAAACTAGTGCTAAAAATTCTTTCCCAAACGTTGAATGCTTCGGATTCTTGGGTATTAGACTGTCACTGGTATTTCCAAGAACTAACACATTTTCATCCTAGAATTTGGGGTTTCAGTGGTCTTTGTAGTCAAAATTTTCATAGTTAAGTTTTATTCTACCATAATTTGCGCCAGTGCATCATCATTGTATGCTTCCACGTTCATCAAGTCCCTAAGTAACGAGATCTCTAATCTTTTCAATGAAAAAGATGTACCTGTCAACCCGAATGACATACGTCCCCACTTTATGATAACCAGTCACCTATTTCTGCCCCATTGTTTTATGACTGACAGCATGATATTCAATACGTAGATATTTGTTGTCTTACCATTTTCAAAAGTGGTAACCGATCTACTTTTCATAACCACCGTTCCTTTTCCGTTGCTAATAATCGCAAAACATCAACTTCTTAAACTTGAACCCTCCCTTAAAATCTTTGAAGACCCCAAACAATTTGCCTATAGACAGTGTAGGAGCACTTTAGACGCTGCAGCTGTCTTACACAACAACATCGTCTCATCATTAGATAAAGATGCCAAATACGTCCGCTGCACGTTTCTCGACTTCACTTCGGCTTTCGACTCTGTATCTAGACGTCTCTTGCTAAATAAGCTCTCTATGACACAAACTGATTCCTGGGTCACTATTTGGCTGCATTCCTATTTCTCTAACAGAAAGCAGTACACTATATGCAAAGGCAAATCCTCCTCTGCTGTGCTCACTGAAGCTGGTATCCCCCAAGGTGCTGTACTCTCCCCACTTCTCTTTTCTTTCTTTCCACATGACTTACCATCTTCAAATGATACTAATTTTGTCAAATATGCTGACGATCTGACTGTATCTTTGTCTGTCAAATGTCAAAGTGACTGCTCTAAACTAAATGAATTTTTATCAGAAATCAGCCAGTGGTCCAAGGAAAACGGTCTTACCTTAAATACCTCTAAATGTCAAACAGTCAATTTCTTCTTTACGCATAAATCTGACCTAAACAAGCTGATTACGAGGTATGCAACATAGATCTTGGCGTCATTCTATCTGCTGATCTCTCCTGGTCGTCTCATATCTTGATGATTTCTAAGAAAATATTCCGTCTTACCTTCTACATTAAGAAGTTAAGACATTCTGGT